TGGAGCCAGCCCAGTGGCCACAGCCCCTACTTCAGGCATGGAATCCCTTAATCCATCTTCAGGTCTTGGCTCCTGTGTGGCTTTGAGCTCTCTGTACTGGGGACCCAGGGCAGGCCCTGCTGGCACAGCGTGGACAAGGTCAGGGAGGAGAATCCAGACATTTCTGGGGACACCCCTACCCTGCTCCTGAGATTCCTGGGGAGTGGACCTGACCCTCACCCCACCTTCCACCAGCCTGCTCCACTAATCCCCTTTTCCATCCACGTCCTGCCTCTTGAAAGGCTGCCAGTGGGCAGGAAATCTGCAGCTGAAATGCTGAGGGATGCTGACAAGGAATAGTTGTGGGGAGGAACAGGGCTGCCTTTGTCAGGCAACAATGGGGGACCCACAGGGGTGAGGGGGAGCCCGAGGGAAGCCCCTGCCCAACCTCTCCCACCTTCATCCCTGCCTCCCCTGAGGAGGAGGAGCACAGCCCTGGAAGCACCAGGGGACCCTCCTGGTCCCTCCATGGCCCAGGAGGATGCTGCTGGGATTCACCAGGCATTAGTCCTTCTCCCATCGTGTATCTGCCTCCCAGTGGGATTCACGGAGTACCCACACTCAGGAGAAGCAGATTCCTTTTATCCTGTTCTCATATCTGTGGCTCTCTGTTGCCACAGCCACCGTGGTGGCCTGATGCAAACAGGTGAGCTGGTCTGGCAGCTCCACACCTGGGAGATCTCAGACCTTGGTGTTCTGATACAAAACTCCAGCACCCCTGAAAACCCCTGGCCTGATGTGTCCTTACATCCCTCCTTGCAGAATATTCCAAGTGTCTTCCTTCCATTTTGCTCTTTTTTCCCTGTCCTTTTTCCTGTCTCCACCTAAAATAATAATTTCCTTGGGGCTGTATCACGAGGCCCTGTTGTTTCAGAAGTCATTTATCATACCCAAGAAAGACACTGAGCCAGCATGACATGATCTGTGTTAAAACCACCCAGCATTTTATTCTGCTTCCCAACAGCAGGCCTGTGATTACTCTTCCAGAACCTGTTCTAGAAACCAACCTCTCCTTGTACTCCAATTAATGGACCTGTAATTGCCTGTAATTTCCTCCTTCCTCTAAGAGCAGCTCCCAGTGTTCCCTTGGCTGATTTCCTCCTGTGGAACATCACCTGTTACTCAGCACCCTCTGGGCTGGCATTTCCCACGCTGGAGTGCCCATCCCTGGGGGGCTTTGAAGGCTGTGGGATGTGGCACCTGGGGACATGGGTTAGTGCTGGGGGAATGGCTGGGCACTGTGATCTTAGAGAACTTTTCCAACCTGAAGGATTCTCTGATTCCATGGAGTGAGCCCATCTCCTGAGCCCAAGAGACCCCACAAAAAGCTTTTGCTGTTCCATCACCTGCAGATGCAGCAAGAGCATGAGTGAGCCCAGTTCCAGGCACTCCAAACCCCTTTCCATGCCCCCACACAAGCCCTACAAAAGCTGGTGTTTGCTGTCCCAGTGCAGATTCTATAGGAAGAAAACATGACCAAAATCATATTGGTTGTTAAATCTCTCCAAATATCATTCTTTTTGAGCTGCCCTGGCTATTTTCAGCCTTCACTCCTGTCCTCCCTTTTAGGATCCAAGGAGCCACAGAGCCCAGCACAGGACCTGGTTCTCTGAAATCCACAAGATTGCAGGGGAGCAGAGAGTGAGCAGCCCTGGAGAGGCACATCAGGGGATGCTGAGGCCTCTTGTCACTGAAAAGCCCAAGCTGGACATATGGAGAAGGTTATGGGCACACCACAGGAGTGAGAAATATGTCTAAAGTGTGCTTAACATTGATACTGCAATAATCCTTTTGCCCAGATTTAATGTTTTCCATCCCAGGGCTTTTGCTAAGGGCGAGGTAAGGGCTGCAACCCCCCCAGATAAAAATGACTTAACTGGGAGGGGAAAGCAGACATGTCTTGGGGGGACATGCCTGGAAAAACCCTGCAAGAGCTGAACGTGGAAGAAAAGGAAAACTCCATCACCCTCCAGGAGCAGAGGGGTGGCTGAAGACTCCCAGGAGTTGCCCACTGAAGGAAACCAGAAGAGGAATTCCCTTCCCTAATGAGAAGTCTCATGGGATTTCTGCCGACCAAAAAAGGTCAGGAACCTGATTTTGAGCTGCATTAGAATGAAGATGCATCCAGCCACTTTGCCAAGCACAAGAGGTTGCTTCTGACAGAGCCTCACCTTGGAACTGGGAATTTGCTTCTTGTAGGGCTCCCATTTAAAAAGGACATTAACGCTGGGGCTGTTTCAGACTAAGCTTGGTCGATTGCCCTGCAATTATTTTGTAATCTACATTAATAATGCTGCAGATGTGCTACTCCTGGCCCTAAACACACAACAGCTCAGCTGAGGCACCAGATGTCTTCCCTGAGAGAGCCCTCACACGACGTCTTTGGTGGACAAAGCCCAATTTTCTGGGCTGGATTATCAGGTTTTTTCAAAACTGATATTCACACCATGAAAATATTCGGCAGAAAATTGATCATAAATATGATCTTCAAGGTATCTTAGCTTGTTTGAAGTGATCCAAGCAGATTAGACAGATCAGGCTGGCTCAAAACACAGTAGTTACAGCACCAGACTGGGACTCAGGAGACCTGGGCTTGATTCCTAAATCTGCTGCTAATTTTGGGTGGCAGTGGATAAATAATTCAATTTTTTCTGTTCCCTTTTCTCCCCCTCCCCTCGATGAAAACAGAACTGATCTCCTTTGTCAAGTCCTGGGAAATCCCTGGCTGTTAAGGGTTATGTCAGAGCCCAGGGCATTTGTGTTGTTATTAAAAATCACAGCCATGCAACAGCCTCCCCAGGGAAGTGATGAAAGACCTGTCGCTGGAAAGGTTTAAATGCAGGCTGGAGGAGACACAGCACCGGGAATTGGCAGGCATGAACCAAGGGGGATCAGGCAGCCGGGATCTAACAGGTTTTTCTTCCATCTCTGCTCTTTCTGATCAGCTTAATAAAATGGATCTGTCCAGCCGCTCTCCGGCACGCACTGCAGCACACAACAAAGGGGGAAACGCAGCCCAAACGGGGAAGCGAGAGTCCCCAAATCCGCCCCCAAATCCGCACAGGCCCGCTCGCCCCAGCGGTACCAGCCCCTGGCCCGGGGCTCGCTCGGGCACGGGGAGCTCGCCCTGGTCCCCAGCCGGCTCCGGGGCCCCCTGCCCCGCCTGCCCCCGGCCCACAGACCCCGCTTCCGACCCCCAAATCTGCGTCCCGCGATCCCCGGGCCGAGCCCCTCCCGAGCAGCTCCCGGTGCTCCGGGGCTGAGCTCCTGCCCGGTGCTGCCTTCCCGGGGCTCTCCCGGTGCCTTCCCGCTCCTCTCCATCCCTTCTCCTGCAGCCCAGCGCGGTCTAAAATCCGCGCTCCGCTGCCACATCCATCCCCGCTCTCTGCCACATCCATCCCCTCTCTCTGCCACATCCATCCCCTCTCTCTGCCACATCCATCCCCTCTCTCTGCCACATCCATCCCCTCTCTCTGCCACATCCATCCCCGCTCTCTGCCACATCCGTCCCCGCTCCGCTCCCGCATCCATCCCCGCTCCCCGCACTCGGGGCCGGCTTTGTCTCGCCGCCGCTCCCGCCGCCCCGAGCGGAGCTCACCGCCGAGCCGAGGGTCCGCAGGCAGAGCAGAGCAGAGCAGGGCAGGGCAGGGCCGTGCCCGGTTCCGTGCCCGGTGCCCGGTTCCGTGCCCGGTTCGGTGCCCGGTCCCGCCGCAGAGGCCGCGGCCGTGCAGCGGAGCCGCTTCCTGCGCTGGCCCCGCCGGCTCCGGGCGCTTTTATCGCGGGGCCGCAGCAGCGATTGGCTCTCGGCGTCGAGCCGGCTCCCAGCCGCTCGCTCCTTTGTGTGGAGCCAACCTCTAACCCCGAGCCTTCCCGGCTCCCCTCGGCTCCCGGCTCTCCCTCCCTGCTCGCCCGCAGCCTCCCGGATCCGGCAGCGACCCTGCCGCTTTCTGGCAGGGCTGTAATTACCCCCCCGGTAATTAGCTTTTCTCTCCCATGAGCTGCCTGTGCACATTGGCTTCGCTCCAAGCTTTGGACACGGCCTTGGGCTCTCTCCGCTCACCCACTCCGGGAAGGGATCCTGTAGCATCCCAAGGGATCCATCCCTCCAGCGTCTGCAAAAGCCAAATTTCCCACACATGCACCTCAACTCACTGTTTGCATAGGAAGGATCTTATCAGGCAGCAGCAGGGAAGGATTCCAGCACTCTCCACTCCTCACCCTGCAGAGGGGCAAAACTGAGCTGTGATGGTTTCAGAAATCCAGGGTTTATTCCGTGGAGAGCTGATGAGCCGAGCGTGGGTCGGGGCGGTGCAAGGCGAGTCCTGGATCCTTGGGTCCCGTGGGCCAAGCAAAAGCACGGCCTGGACTTTCCCCAGTGTTTGGAGGGCTGGAATTTCCCCAGGAACAGGACAAAACATCAGAAATAAATATAAATATTAATAGTTAAAACCTGGATGTGGTTTCACACCAGCCGAGGAAGCTGGAATGGCCACGAGCCAGGAGAGAGGCAGCAGTAACCTGTAGCTCTGAGGACTTTACCTTAAGCTCCCAAAGCCCTCCAATGGGCCATAAATGGAGGAAAATATACAATGGAGTGATGGGAATATCTTTGAAAATTATGATGCAGGAACAAATATTCTTCTTTGGCTCCTGAACACAGTGTGGTGCCACTGGAAAGAGCCAAATGCTGTCTGGAGGTGGCCCGAAGCCTGAGCCCAGCTGCAGAGACAGGTGTTCTGTGTGCAGTTTGCCTGTAGTTCCCTGTAAAAAACCACGATTGAGGCATTCACAGCAGCGTTTACTGGACAAGGAGACAGCAGTGATGTGATTTACCACCTCTGTCACTCTGAGTTGCCCTAAGAGCATCTGTGCTGAGCAGGCTCGCTGCCACCGAGTGCAAATAAATGAGGAATTCCCAGACGTGAGGCAGAGACGGGACAGTCACACACAGAGACCAGAGGGCAGAGCTGGGCTCCAGCAGGGCAGGGGGACAGGAACATCCAGCAGCAGGAACGAGGGAAGTGAACGAGCACAGCACCCACAACAATCGCTGCTTATCATGGTGAAAACCTTACAGATCTGGGAAATTGCCGGTGTTCAGCTCCCAGCTGGTACCAATCCTATTGCTCAGAATCAGCTTGTTTGTTAGCTTATTAATTATCCCATTCGCTAGACTTTTGGCAATAGGACTGTTAATCACCGGGCAGGCTTTCCTCTCAGGGTGGAACCTCACTGTCCCTTGTGCCTGGGCTCACACACGGACACACGTGTGCACACACATGCACACTCATACATGCACACACACACACGTACATGCATACACACATATGTACACATATGTACACATATGTACACACGTGCACACACACACGTGCCCTAGTGGCCAATGCCACGGCTCCCGTCTGTGCCCACCGGGGCCGGGGATCGCGGGAACGCAGCGGCGTCCCCGTTGCCTTGGAAACCCGCCGGGACACGGAGGGGAAACGGCGAAACGGCCCCGTTGGCGGGCTGGGGGGCGCGGGAAGGAGCAGGGAGGGAGCGGAGTCGAGGATGAGGCACCGGGGATGGGAAATGGGGGTCGGGCACGGCACAGCCCCGGGGACCCCCGGCCCCGCCCGGGGCGCTGAGCCCTCCGTGCCAGCAGGGGGCGCTGCCCGCGCGGCCGCTCCGGCGCCGCTCTGCCCGGCGCCGCGGCATCGGCGGCACACGATGGCGGAGGAGAGCGGCGTCTGCAGCTTTGTGTTCAAGAAGCGGGTCCGAGCCGCGGGCAGCGGACGGCGGAAACGGCCCGGCAGCGACCAGGAGCGGGGTGAGGGCTGGGGGGACCCGGGCGGAGCCGAGCTGGGGCGGTGGGGAGGGCAGGGAGGGCCGGGTGCCGCTCCCAGCGCTGCCCACAGCGGGGCTCGGCTGCGCTCCCAGCCCGGGTGCGTGCGGCGGAGGGCGTGAAGGAGCTGCAGCTGTGTCAGAGCGGATCTAGGCTGGATATTAGGAGAAGGTTCTTGCCCTGGACACTGAACAGGCTCCCAGGGGCAGCTCCTTAGGGCAGCGCTCCCAGGGTGGGATTGTTGGGTGTCCCGCGGGCCTCAGGCCGGGGCCGTGCCCCTCACGCCGGCTTTGCCCGCAGAGAGCAGCGGGGAGGAGGGCAGCACCGTGGTGCGGAAGGAGCGGCGGCGGGACGCCCCCAACCCCATGATCCAGAAGGTAAGGGAGCTCCGAGGGAGCGCCTGCTCCGGCCGGGGGCCTGCGGTGCCTGCCGGGCTCAGCCCGGACAGTGCTGGAGCCTTCGCTCCCCCATCCCTGCTGTCCCCCCCAGACCAGGCGCTGCACGAGGGACAGGCCGGAGTACGCGCCGAGCAGCAGCGAGGATGAGGATCCTGCCAAGGAGATCGGCGTCACCTACAAATCCACCAGGTCGGCGGTAAGGACGGGCAGCAGGGGCTCGGGTGTCAGCTCAGGTGGGGCTGAAGATCCCGCTCCTCACAGACAGAATCTGCCACTCTAAACATGGGATCGGACGTTCTTTCTTATTAATGCACCTCCCTGTCCCCTCTTAATAGCCAAGCACCTTGTGCTGCGTTTATTGTGATAGTCCCTCCCTTTATGGGAGGCCATCAGAGGTTGGCCTTTCCCTCTTAGAGGTGGGAGTTAAAACTCCAGGATGCCACTGGACTTACCCAACACTGCACAGATTTTTCAGGAGAGGGAGCAGTTGGATCAGGTTTGCTCAGCTGTTGTGTTTGTGTTTTCAGTGTTCGACCATCTTTGGGTGCTCCCAAGGGCGGCAGCGTTTGCTCTGCCCAACCTTCTGGAGAGAGCAGGGAAGGATGGGAGGAGGTGGCAGCTTTGGGACTCCACAAGCTTTTGGCACCTAAGTTGGATTTGTATTTAATTGAGGCTGGCTGTAATTATTCTCTGGTTTCTCTGCAGCTGTTCTTCAAGATGTGATAAAAGCTAGGAATAGATATCTGTTCAGTCCATTAAAGAGGACTCTAAACCAGATCACTGTGTTGAAACTGAATTTTGGCCACCCCCAGCTGGGTCAGAAGCTCAGTAACATCCTGTGTGTGGGCAGGAGTGATTGAAGTGTTGGACATGGGTGAACTGAGTGAGGCTTGAGCTGGGGCTGAGTGTGAAGGAGTAAAATAAGTATTCCCTGACTGCAGGCTAAAATTTGGGAGCCATGGGGAATTAGCACTCTGGCCTCTGCACACACTAGGCTGGAGTCTGTGGTGAGTTCTCCCTGCAAATGCCAAAAGATAAAGCAGGTGTGTCCAGTTCTTGTTCTGTGACAGTCCTTCAGGTAGCCAATGAACTCTCTGTCTTGTCCAGATATTCCCTCCACTCTTGCCACAAGTTTTCCTTGCTTTTCAGAAACCTGTTGGCCCAGAAGACATGGGAGCCACAGCAGTGTATGAACTGGACACGGAGAAGGAGAAGGATGCCCAGGCCATCTTTGAGCGCAGCCAGAAAATCCAGGAGGTGAGTGCGCCTTGCTCCTTAGGAACTCGTGCTCTGCAGCAGGAGAGCCTGTGCTTTACTCATCTCCCTCTGCACACCAAGAAGAGTTAGAGTCTTCCCTAAAAGTTCGAGAAGCCGGGAGTGTAACCCCTGCAAATAGGGGAGCTCTGTTGCTTTACTGGCATCTCGGTGTTAAAGAAGGCAGGGTGGGAAGGAAGACTGGTGTCAGAGTGGTGGCAGTTAATCCATGTCATGAAGCTCTCCGGATCCTTAATCATATCTCCTTCCTTTCCTAGGAGCTGAGAGGAAAGGAAGATGATAAAATTTACCGTGGTATTAACAACTACCAGAAGTATGTGAAGCCCAAGGACACATCGATGGGAAATGCCTCTTCAGGAATGGTCAGGTGGGTTGGGATGAGCCTCGGGGCTCTGCGACCCCAGAGGAGCTCAGGCACCATTCCCAAGGCAGCGTTTGGGGCTAGAACTCTGCTGCCACTGCCGGTTTCTGCCTGACCAGTGTGGTGTCTGGTTGTGGCCAGTGGCTCCTGGGCCACTCTGCAGCCGGGCTGAGCCCTCTGCCCCTCTTTCAGGAAAGGCCCCATCCGTGCTCCGGAGCACCTGCGGGCCACGGTGCGCTGGGACTACCAGCCCGACATCTGCAAGGACTACAAAGAGACCGGCTTCTGCGGCTTTGGGGGTGAGTGCCTCCTGTCTGCAGCTCAGCACCAGCTGTGCAGAGGGATCCCTCCCAGCTGTGACCCCATTTTGGGGTGCTGAGGCTGTCACAGACCCTTCTGTGCACAGCTGATTATGGAAGGTTGTTATTCGTGCTGGCCCTTCTGAAAGCCCAGGGCCTCTCACTAGTGGTTATGGGAGCCCTGGGATGTGACCCACATTCTTACAGGTATTGTGTCCACTGAGACCATGTGAGGGATGGGTTTCCTGTTCCTTGTCCCACTTCCCATGTACATACCTGCTGGAACTGTCCCTGTGGCACAGAGAGGATGATCCTCACAGCCTGTGAGCACTGAGGGATCCTGTTCCAGGAGCTTAGTGCTGCCCTGGAGAAGGAGCAATCAGATTTCTCCTTCTGGCTCAGCCCTGGAATGAGGTGTCCTGTAACGCTCAGCCCTTGCAGCCTGTCTTATTTCCTCTTCCTTTGTGCTGCTCAGACAGCTGCAAGTTCCTGCACGACCGCTCGGACTACAAGCACGGCTGGCAGATCGAACGGGAGCTGGACGAGGGCCGCTACGGCGTCAACGGTACGGCCCCGCTGCACTCACACCCCCCGGAGCTGGGCGGCTCCTGCTGCACGAAGGCCTCAGGCCAGCAGCCAGGGGCAGTGCTGCTGCTCTCAGCCAGCCCCTGGCTCTCTCTGAAGGAGAGAGCACTGCTGTGTGGTGCTGGGGACATGGGGACATCTGTCCCCAGATGCCCACGAGGTGGGATGCCTTTGTCACTCCATACCTGTGGCCCAAGGCTCGTGAACACTGCTGTGCAAATGGAGGCTGTTCTCTGCTCTGTGGAGCCAGAGTTTGGTGGCAGCTGGTTTGGAAGAAAGTCTGAAAAACAGGAGGGGGCTGGAGGATGTTTCTCTTTATAGCAGTGAGTGGGTGAAGTAGAAAAGAATTTTCTCCTGAGATGAGCAACAGGCCTGCTGTCTCATTAGCCCTAATTATAGCACAGTCCCACACGTGTTACTGACAGCAATACCCAGATGCCAGAGCTCCACTGTTTTTTTCCAGCAGAGATTGAATCCCACCTGCTGTACTCTTCCCTTATTTATTATTTTATTTCAAGTGCCCCACACTTGGGCTGGGCTGGCCTCTCCTCTCACTCCACTCTGGGTCACTTTGTCTTGTGCAGATGACGAAAACTACGAGGTGAGCAGTGATGAGGAGGACATGCCTTTCAAATGCTTCATCTGCAGAGGTTCCTTCAAGAACCCCGTGGTCACCAAGTAAGTGGCATGAGGAGCCACACGTGTGCTGTGGATCCAGCTCACAAATCATTCATTCACTATTGAGGCAAAAACAAACCCAGCCCACAGGCTGTGGGTGGAACCTGCTTCCCTGGATTTCAGGTGGGTGGGGGAATCCTGTGAGAGCCAGGGAGTCTTAAAGCTGCATCTGAAGCATCCCCATGGAAGGGATCTCAAGCACTTATTCAAGCACTTTTTAGATTTGCACAATTGCTGCCTCATTACCTCCCCTTTAATCCTGAGATTTGGTTTTCATGCCATCATTCCTCCTGGACACTGAATGGCAGCTGCAGTGCCTGAGCACAGAAATGTGAGCATGGGGAAGCCAGGAGCTTGGTAAGGATGAGGTGGAGGCTGAGGACAGCCCTTTCTCGCTGAATGCTGTCCTGCTGGTACCTGTGTCTGGAAGAGCTCACTGGTGGCTCTGTGCTGTCGCTGCACATCAGTGAAGCAATGCTGAAACACCTTCCATGGGAACAGGGGTGCAGAGGAAGCTGTGCCTGCAGCTCATTGTGCCTGCAGCTCATTGTGCCTCCCCTGGGGATCATGGAGAGTTGTCAGGCAGTGGAAGGGGCTGCCCAGGGAGCTGTAGAGTCCCCAGCACTGGAGGTGTCCGAGGAACAGCGGGATGTGGAACACAGTGCTCGGTCAAAGGCTGGACTCGATGGTGGAGGTCGTTTCCAGCCTTGATGTTCCTGTGACCAGCAGTGAGTGGTTCCTGGCTCCAGGACACAGTGCTGGTGTCTGGGGACCTGCAGTCACCTGTGTGTGTCCATACAGGTGTCGGCACTACTTCTGTGAGAGCTGTGCCCTGCAGCACTACCGCAAATCCCAGCGCTGCTACGTGTGTGACAAGCAAACCAACGGGGTCTTCAACCCTGCCAAAGGTAACGGGAGAGGGAGGCCCCTCCTGGGGGAGAGGGGCTCCTGGGGCAGCACCTGAGCAGCTAAGGCACCAGGAGCTTCTGGTGTTGGGCAGCAGAGCTCAGTTAGTGTCAGGAAATATTAAATCATGGATGCAACATGAGCATCTGTGCTTGCCCAGGTAGGGAACCTGGGGAGGGACTGGAGAGGGAAGGGGATTGTGCCACAGGAGCAGAGGCAGCAGCTTGTGTGGTCAGTAATGCACTGAGGGAATGACTCCAGCAGCTCCTGCCTGGACTCCAAACAGGGGTGACTCCAAGCTGAGCCTCTGTAGGAAAGGAATTTTTGGTCCTGGGTGTTCACAGGAGCCTCATCGTGCCTGTTCCTGTTTTTCAGAGCTCATGGCAAAATTGGAAAAACACAAAGGGGAGGAAGAAGAGCAACAGTCAGAGCACGAAGAGGATCCACAGTAGCAGAACACGTTTTGTACATAAGTGAATAAAGTTTTTATAGGAGAAAAAAAAGCTCGCAGCTGTAGCCAGCAGTTGTCTCTCCAACCAGCAGCTACTGAACCACGTCCACCTGTGCTGGACTCAGTCTGTGCTGCCCTGGGGGGGCACAAGGCAGGACAGGTAAGACTCGAGGGCTGAGTGAGCCATCTGCTACCCCCAGAACCCCTGAGTGCAGCTGGGCAAGGAGGCTGAATGTTCAGTTACTTCCTAATTGCTGCTTCTGACCATGGTGCTGCTGTTTCACTCCTGACTGTGCACAGATCCTGCTGCTGTGTAAGCATGCAACAAAAAAAATTTTAAAGAGTTTAAAAATATATAAACTCTAATCTTTGAGCATGGAGCAAGCTGCAGGCATGCAGTTCATCCTTCACCCCAAAAATGCTAATTCATGGGAAAGCAGGCTAGAGCACTGCAGTCACTGGACATTTATTCCCTCCTATATTGGTTCCTAGAACTCAGTGGGCTACACACCTCTTCAATCAGCCAGGAAATTACTATCTTCTTACTAACAGTAAGATTAAATCAGGAGCCAAACCTGATCCTAGGGAGGAAGTAGAACTGGGCCTGGCCTTAACAAACAGACTGGGAGGATTTTACTGAACCTTTCAGAAGAGAGCAAGTGCAGGTGTTTGCAGCTTGTTGCTTTAGTTGAAGTATGTTTCTGAAGCATGAAGGCAGCTGCCATAAGCTGGTGAGCTGTATGAAACTAAGGAGGTAAAAGCAAGCATGCACAGTCTGTCTCCCTCTGTGATTCATTCCATCATCCTGCACAAACAGCAGACTTAAAAAACAACTTCAGAAATATTTTATTTCTTTTGGAAAAAAACTAGAGTAACAAACTTTGTCTGGGTTCAAGTACAGTTTATAAACACAAGAAGGACCTGTTGCCAGCACCACTACTCCCATCAACTGCACCTACACAAGGATTCTCAGTGCTTCAGTAAAGAGCAGATGACCTCCAGCACCCATGGTCCTTGGAACAAAAGTCAAACTAAAAGCCTTAAATACACCTCCAAAAAAAAAAAAAAAAACCAAAAAACAAACCACCAGGGAATGGGGGAGAGCTGCCACAGCAGCAGGGCAGAGTCACACAGCCATGAATCACAGGGAGCCACGTGAGCAGCTTCTACCTGTCAGTCACTGAGGGAAGGCAGAACAGCAAAGGTAATGGAAAGGTTAAAGTTCAATTCTGTACAGGAGTTGTGAGCAAGAGGATCAGCATGAAAATCAATTTACTTTTCCTCTGTGCCAGGGTAAGTCACTGAGAACAGGCAGGTAAGAGTGTTTCGTGCTGTGAAACCAGCCCAGCTCACATGAAGTTCGACTGGAAGGGGATAAAAAAGGTGGTATATTGTCCAGGCATCCACACTGCTCTGGTGACCCAGGAAGCTGGAAGGGCCTGTCTGACCTGGAGTTCAGAGTGCTTAGCATTGAGTGAGAAGTCTTCAAAAGCCCTCTCCAGACTGGAAGAATCCAGTGCTGCAAAGGAATGCCCAGTGCAGCAGAAGTGCCTGGAATGGTATCAGCTTGTCTTTGATCTCCCATTTTTCACCACAAAAGCAGTAACTAAGAATATAATCCCTTTTTTCCCCATTAAAACTTGCCCTGTGACAACACTGTTACAGGAACATGACTAGTTCTAAGAGAATGCCCAAAACTAAAAGCTGCCCACCTCCCCTCAACTCTAAGGCACCCTTAAAAGAGAAAGAACCAAAGAGGGCAGGGACATGCAGCCTCAGCTGTGAGGAAGCCAGTGATTTTTAGAAACACATAAGCAGAGATAATAACTAAACAGACTCACTCAACCCCCTCGAGTGCTTTCCCACTGCTCAGCTGGAAGAATGGGGGCTCCAGGCACTTCACCTCCTGGAATACTTCACAGCTCCTTGGGTTGATCCTTTTCCAGCTCAGGTCTGTCCATTTGTATCCAGGCTACTTCTTAAGTAAACAAGCAGTTGAAGTTCCTTCCCAAGCACCTGTAAACTCTTCTGTGTATAACATTCATCAGCTTTTATGAACAGGACCAATAAATTACAATGTCCAGAAAGCTCCTCAGTGTAGTCCCTACTTTTCTAGAATTCCCAGTCATCCACATCCAGCTGCTCCAGATTTGATACCAACCCAAAAATGCCGCTGGGATCCTGGGGCAGTGTCCCTTCCAAATTGGTGATGGGGGTGACAGGGCGCAGGAGTTCAGGGAGTGCTTCGGACGCGCGGCGCTTGATCTGCACGGCAAGGCCAGAGTGAGCAGAAAATTCAACACTCCCACCCTCACAGCAACACAAAGCACTGTGCTTGACCTGTAGATAAATTAGTTCCTTACCTGTTTAAAAAAGGGGTGACTGAGCAGAGTGCCTGCACTTGGCCTGTGGAAGGGAGGTAGAATGAGGGGAGGACACAAGAAAATGAGTCAGTGCTTGAAGTCAGGTAGAGGGAATAAGAAAAGACCAAGGTCCTTCCTTGGTGGCCCCGTCCACTTCTCAGCTATTGGGTATCTCCCCTTTTTCAGCACTAGCAGTGCTTATTAGGCATTTACAATCGCATTTTATGCAAGGAGTTCAACCTCCTTCTTCTAACCTTTAAGTTACATTCTTGCACCCCCTACATCTGGCCAAGGACAGTGCCTGAGCAGTGGGGCACCCCTGAAGTGTCTGTCATGGCTACAGATTGCCCTCACTAAAAAGAAAAATGCAGCTTTGATCACTTCCCCTCATTGCTCTCCGCTGCTGAGGAGCAGCCATTTGCAGTGATGGGACGTGGGTATACACAGTCTCACGGGGGCCAGAAACACAAGTTGTTTATTTTCTTCATGTGCAGCACCACTCATCCCCCAAGGAAGGTGAAGGAATTCCTCAGGCTCTCATATAGGAGGTGCTCAAAGTGTTAATGCTGCTCGTTCTACACACTTGGGCTGCTCTCCCCAACAGAGGGGGCACATCCTCACTGCACCACACTTTCGGAAAGAAAACCACAAACAATTCCTGCTAACTCCCATGGTTAACCCAGCCCTAGAACAGCACAGGTGGGGGGAGCAGCTGTCAGCTGGCTGTACCTGAAATCGGGGTTCCTCTGCAGGCACTGCTCCACGAAGTTGTGGAAGTAGGAGGAGAAGGTGCGCAGGTAGGGGTGCAGGGCCGGCTCGCCGTTGGCGGCGCGCGCGTTGCTCGTGGCCGTGCTCTCCCCCATGCCGTAGTTGGCGCTGGAGCGGGACGTCCTCATGGTCAGCTCGTCAGCAGGGATTGTGGTGGTGTCCAGCAGGCAGGGAACAGTCCCGTTCAGCTTTTCCAAGAGCATCTGGAGGAGCAGGGGCACAAGCAACATGGCACACAGTTAAGGTTCCCCATTCGTGCAGGCGGGACACCCCTCTGTGTTCACACCCCAGAGCAGGACAGCACTTCCAGGTGCCAGGATGAAGGACAAGAAAGGAGCCTGCAAACCTCACCTGAGTGGAAGGCATGTCTTTAAATGGGACATGTCCATTTGCCAGCTCACAGGCCGTTATCCCCACGCTGTAAATGTCGGACTTTGCATCGTAACCCTGCAGATTCTACATGAAAAGGAAAAGAAAAATCAGCTTCGGGGACTTGGATGTGATTGAGTGGGCAATACCCATGATTCAATTGCAAATCAACAAACCCAGATGGAACAGGAACAGCACAAGCCACAGATAGACTGATTTATTGTGGTGAGGGTTTTGCTTTGTTAAAACACACAGTTAAGGGCAACATGTATGTAACTGAAAGCAGCCAGCCCGTAGGGATGGCATCTGCCCTGGGTAACTTGCATCTTATATAACACTTTGTTAATGAGACAACCTGTAGAGGTGCCTACAATTAATACTGAGTCAAACTAGATCAAATTCTAGCCACTTGCCCAAATCTGTTTCCTTTAGCCTCTTCCCTTCTTTTTGCTTGCATTCACATACCCTTCTCCTTGCTAGGGGTCACTGGGTTTAAGATAAAAAAGATAAAAGGACTAGAGCTCACCACAAGAAAGCAACTCTGAGGTTCTCTCCTATCTCCCACCCTACACCCCTTCAACTTGCCTTAGGAGTTCACAGAATCATACAGATACAACACATGACTAAACACAAGCAGTTTCTTTTAAACGTACCTGCTGCAAAACCTCAGGGCTGAGCCAAGGCAGCACTTTGATGCTGTATTTGGGGAAGTCATGAACAACTTTGAGTCTCTGCCCATGGTTGATCATGCTCAGGTTACTGCGCAGGCCAGACAGGTACACCTTCCCATCCACAGAGATCAGGATATGGCTGGCTTTAACACTCCTGGGGAAAAGGGAAAACACTCAGCTTCCCTGGCCTTTACCAAACACCTCATGCATAGGACAATACCTGATCAGCGTCCTACCAGGAGGCTGACACTCCTAACATCTTTGGATGCTGGGGAAAATCAATTAACAAGATTCTACTCATCTCCTTTGCAAGGAGATTATTTGCATTCCCAAAGAATGTTTCTGTGGCGAGGAGAAATGCAGGATTAAATGTCATGGACTGTGATTTTAGATACAAAGTGGTCTTTGGGATAAGTCTGCTCCACAATGACACTTTCACGCAGCTTAGTAAGATCGGTGATGTCACTTCCCATGAGTATCAAACTGATTTGTTCTAACAGCAAACACAAAACTTAATGTGTTCTGTGTCTCCTGATTCACCCTCTGCTCTACTCCGAGTATTATTTCCCAGAACTTCCACCAGAAGGAAAATGGCCAATGTATTTTTCAATACCTATGTACATAGCCCATATGGTGGATGTAGTCAAGTGCTTTCAAGACACCTTGAAGAATGTAAGCAATGGCCAGTTCAGTCATCCCATCTGTAAAATGGGTACAGATTAAATCTTTTGCAGAACCTAGAAAGAAACAAAACATCACCTGTCAGAAGAAAAGCTCCAAGGACACTTCAGCTCTTCAATTTCATTTCACAGAAAATGAGAGTCAGAAAAAGGTACCCCCTCTCCACTCACCATAGGCCATGAAAGAAGTCACTACCCACAGCTCATTGTCAGCTATGAAAGTTGCTTTGTATGGCACAATGTTAGGGTGGTTGAAGAGCTTGGAAACATGAAGTTCCCCCTAAAATAAAAGGTGTTTTGATTAAATTTAGTAAATGCAGAAACGTGACTGCAGTATTTATGGGCACTGCTCTTGCTGTCCGTCCTCTCCTGAGCTTGCATGGTGAGTGGTGTTACCTGCAAGAATGTGACCATTTCATTTGTGCAGGCCTCCAAGTTCACTCTTCTGACTGTGACATACTCTCCTGTGGGTTTATACTTGGCCAGGTTCACAACCATCAAGTCTTCAAAGCCTCTGCCTGAAAGAGAAAGCACTGAAGCTTCAGCAATGCTTTTGGAAGCACTGAGAGGAACTCCTCCAGCCCCTTTCCCTTCAATAACCTTTACCCTCACTCACTCAAACTACTTTTGGCCTTGTAAAAGAGTAATTGTTCCATCAGATACCACCTTCCTTGGCACGTATCCCACTGAGAGAAATCCTCCTAGCCAGAATTATCCTGCCCTTCAAATGCAGGTTCGAGGCAGAAACAGTGATTAGACTGTACTGCACCCCCAGCATCATCGACCCACCACGTGCCCCTCTCAGGTGAAAACTGGCACCTAATTTTTTATTCAAATTCTTTTAAAATCAAAGATGCAGATATCCAATACCAAAATTAAGCAATCAATCAAGTAAAGGACAACAATTCTGCAGAAGTTATTTTCTGTACAAAGCAGACTTTGATCCTCCAGCCCTCCAGAATTACCTATGATAGTGAGCAACTCATAGCAGCTGCTGTCTGGCACGAAGCTGCTCATGGTGTCCCTTTTAGGGGAAGAAGCTATCGACTCGGAGCTCGCCTCATTTGTCTGAGGAAAAAAATGAAGTCAGGTCAAAGGAAAGAAAGTTCACCTGCTGGAAAAGTCATCTGCACCTCATCATACACTTCAAAATAACAGAAATACAGAAGAGTATTTAATTGCTGTCAAAATACTTTTAAATAGTGATTTATCAATTGAAATTCAGGAGATGCCTCATTTCAGAAGGTCCAGACATCTGTGTTACAAAACATGTAACAAGTAGATGTTAATCACTGTAAGCGAGAATTTATTCAGGAATATTTGGATAAAGCCAATTATTATTCCCCTGGACAGCCTAAACTCTGCTTTCCAGTAACTGCCTTTCTGTTAGAATTACAAACTTGTGTGCCACCATCCTGTAGCCTGAGCCAGAGGGAAGCTGTTCCCAGCCCTCCTGTGCACTGTAACCCTTGTGTTCCTGCTGCAGCTCCTGGCTCTCAGCTGCTCACCTGGGGTAAGCCCAGCAAGCTGAAGCTGCTCAGCTGAATGGTACAAGTGATGGAGAAAATCAGACACACATGAAAAGAGAAGCTCCAAATGAAAGCAAAAACTGCAAAAAAAAATGCTTCTAAAAAAAAAAGTGGGGGGAAGCAGCATTCCCAAGCCTGTCAGTTTTCCCTCACTCCATCTGACATAAAGCTTTCTGCCTTATTTACATACACTGAAATCTTCCCCTGCAGGATTTTGCAGATGATAAACTTCAATGTTCTTGCAAGTTCTTTTATATCTTCCAACTCCTTCAAATGTCCAAAGTCACAAGGAGAGCATCCTAACAGGGATTAAAATTTATTTTGAATCTAAAACCGTCTTTAGTTATCTCCAATTTCCAGCACATTAACTCCTCCTGGCATTTGGAACACCAGCTCAATTTTTCCACCTCATTCTTCATCAACTGCAAATGCCCTTTATCAGACCTTTCTCGTGGTACATGAAGCAGAAAAGGTTTGTGCCTTTTCCTACCATGACAGCAGACTCCTTTTTTTTATTTCCATCACTGAAAGATGGGAACAACACAGTGACAGCTGAAAAACAAGGAACTTGCTGTTCTACCCTCAGCCCAGGGTAAATGCAGTGCAAAGAGCACAGACAGGGGTTTACTGTAAATTACCTCTGGCTGTCTAAGTGTACTTTGGGAGTAAATTAGAGCCACACTTCCCAAGTTCCAACTTTTTAACTGGCTTTGAACAGCACACTGCCTACCTTGAAAATAGCTGCATTTTCCATTAAGGGAAAAGGCAAAAATTAAGATTTATGTTATAATTTCAGCTCAAACAACTCAGTCCCATTTCAGCATAGCTCAAACCCCTGGGAGCAGCATTCCCAGATCTCTTCTTTTAGTGAACACTACAGTGCTGTTTCTTGGCTCAGAAGAGGCAGCAACTTTCCACTCGGGATTTCAAACTCCTGCTACAGAGGCCTGTCCATCCTGATCTCAGCTGTATCACTCATTTCTTCTTTCAGCAGTTGCCACAGTCCTGCCACACAGGCAGACTGAAACCTCTGAAGCAGACAGGCAGCACCAAGGAGATGGAAGCAGTCATGGAGCAGTGGCAGCTGGTGAGACACTGAGCAACATGTAAGTGGTTTGCTTTGTTAAAGTCCACTCCAGGGAGAGCACAAGCCAACAAAACAGATGCAAAGAATTAAATACATTTAATCGTATTAATGGTGTAGGCTGTGCAGTAATGGAAAAATGCTGTGAATTCCCTAATGAAAAGTCTTCCAGTATGAGATCTTCACTCACCCCTCCTCATGTGACCAGTAACAGAGTTAATGCAAAAGGAGCTCGACCAGAAATTTATCAACATCATACAACAGCTTAAAAAAAGAAAGTTAAACTGAAATGTCATTTATGAGATACTGCAAAAAAGCTCCTCAGGGGTTTCACACAGGATAATTTTTGGTGTATGGTCAAAAGCAGCTGCAAAATGAAGTCCCATATGACCATGTTTATGGCATGACATTCATTTAGAGCTGGCTTTTGGCTTGGGAGTCAAGTTTAATTTGGAGAGAGATTTAAAGGAAATTCATCTTTGAAAGGCAACTGGTATAAATGCCATAACACAATCAGTTATGTGATGCTTGCAGGGATCTGCATTTGCCAAATGACATTCACTGAGTTAAGAAGAGGGCAGATCAGTTTTGTTCTGCTGCCTTCCCCTCCACCTCCTCACTCCCTCTCTCATTTTAGCATAAGAAGAAAAATTTTCCTCCCACCCCTCTCCTCAAATTATGTACTTTTCTCTACAGCCCTGGTGAAAAAAAATCCCAGGCTTTTATTTAGATGTAAAAAGATCAAAATGAGAATCAGCATGTCTAAACCCCAAGAAAACCCTTGGAAAAAAACAAAACAGTTGCTTCCAGCCAAGTATGTCTACCACTCAGCAATTTAAAAAAAGGTGTGAATTTACTCAATTCTGTACAAAACATTCCAAATACATCTCCTATTTTGAGCTTTGTTTGTGCCAGTAAATTACAGACACTGACACAAAAATCAATTATAAGCAGCTTGAACTGACACAATGCCTATGATTTTATGGTCAAATTACACTTAATTTGTGTTTGTAATTAGCTTAAACTAGAGCAACACCTGCACACCTGTGGTGTGGGGAGGTGGGGAATAATTTGGATTCTCTACTGTAAATTGTGATGTTTTATATGTGTTACATGCTCATTGTGAACCAGACACTGAGCAATCAGGGCCTGCAGAACAAATACTTTTCAGAAGTTCCATAAAACTAAACCCTTCCTTCTCTGAAGGATCAGAACTAAATCATCTCAAAAACAGACCCCTGAGGGGCTGGGAGGAGGAGAATGACAAACAAATAGAAATCCAAGAGATTAAGTTTAAATTTTTGAATTATCACAAATGGCTTGAAAACCACACACCAAAATCTCCACTCCAGGGTGAAACCTGTTTCCACACTTGTAGAGGTAAATATAGAGATGAGATATATAACTAAGATAAAAAGAAAAAATCAAACTTCCACAAGGAATAATCTCCATGCAATGAACCACAGCACCACAGCCTGCACAAGTCACTTACTTTTCTCCGAGAGTCACCCGGAGGCTGCTCTGGAGTAAAGAAATTAATTGTTCACCATGTTGTGTTCAACAGATACCCATTAAAATATAGTTGGACAGCTAAGCAAATAACCCTAGATAACCCTTTTTGACATCAAATATACATGACTTTTGTTTTATACAAAGACATTTAATTTGTACACAAAATAGCACACTGGTCATGCTGCAGTACATGCACAGGATCAAAGAGATTCACACAGTGCTACTGTTTGTATATTTGACAAAAATGTAAGGTGACAATTTTTTTCTACTATAACTAAATATTAACCTTCTGTCATGTCCCTGCTTATTGAAGCAGGGTTGGACTTGGTGATCTTTAAAGGTCCCTTCCAACCCGAACAATTCTGTGATTATAAACACATTCAAAGATGACTCTTAAAAGACAGAAGAAATTATCTAATATTATTCAAAGTAATAAAAATTCCTTTACTCCACCTAGAAGCTCGAAATCTAGACATATTTCCTATGCTCTGTTTATTTTCCATGTCACTGATCAGGAATCCTGCATCCTAGTGGGCAAGCTTTGTTTGTGATGCAGAAGCAGAGCACAAACCCGTCAGCTCCTGCTCCTGAGGAGACATCAACAGTTTCAAAATCCCTTTTAACTCAGAAAATGATAATTAACCTTCCTAAACCCCTAATCCATCTTTTGCATATGAAAAAAATGTAGTTATGCTAAGCAATATGGAACTAATTTATAACTGTTATCAATATGGAAATGACTTCCAAATAACTTGCTAGATCTGGGACACTTCCACCTTAAATTTCTGGGCTTAGTCAGCTTGAATACCTGGATTTACAGTGAGATTCAGCCATCTCTTTTAGTGATAAGATAATCTTTACTACCAAATGACCAAGCTTTACAGGTAAAATAAAACATTTCTATGTCATTAAACATGAGGAAAACTTACCTCCGAACAGCTCGAACTCTCTTAACCCCTCAACAATGAACTTCTCAGACACCCACCGCTGAAAAAATAAAAATTCTCCACATAGTCAGTTATTCCATCTACAGAAAAGTTTCTTTTCCCCTTCCCCACAAGAAAAAAAAGCCCCAAACTTCAATGATTCTGCTGTGGTCTGAAACTGATTTGCTGCATGCCCAGTGACATCCTTACTCTGGACATCCTTTTTGTGCCAATGACATGCACCCAGCAGCCACACAGTTATTCTGTGATTATTATTATTATTATTATTATTATTATGCTGTTATTCCCAATCAACATGCACTTGCCATAAAGTTAATACCATTTTAAACCATTCAAACAAGTTTTTATACATGCACATACAGCAAAGATAATCAGCATGCCACAACTCCCTCATACAGCCAAATGAAAGCTGGGTTTTTAGGTGTAATAGGTTTTAAAAAAAATGCTTTCACTGTTTACAAAGAGGCGAATTCAAATTCTGGTTATATATCTACTGAATGAATCCAAAATTAGAACGTAAATATCCTAAAGCTGTTGTTCTCTTCCAGAATTCATGTTTGAAATTCACAGCAAGCATTAAGTTGTGCAGAGGATGTTTCTACCATTATCTAATACTGCAGTTCAAATAATATACACATATACACACATAAGATACGACAGAACAGGAAATTTTAAGCTTGCAGAGTGTGGATCATGAGGTTAAATCATCAAGCACAAACACTCCCATGGTAGAATTTGCTACTTAGCAAAATAATTTAATAAACAGCCGATGTTCAGTGCACGGGAAGCCGGTCCTAGAAAGCACCAATGAGTCTTTAGGTGATGATAACTCAAAACTTGTATGTGAGTACACCATTTGAAAGCATTAGAAGTAGTTCTGCTGCAGGAAACTTCTTCATTTAGAAAAGCAGAATCAAACAAAGCTGTTGTGTTTAGCTTTGCAAGCAAAGTGAAGGAAAAAAACCCCCATAAATTGTGACACATTTGAGGAGGCTACTTCTTAAAGAACCACTGAAAATAACCAGCATTATGGCCCTTTCCCTTCCCTGCAAAGCCCATTCCAGCCCCTCTGCACCGCGCCCCAAGGAGACACGCGTGTATGTGCGAGCAAGATCGGCTTCAGTGCAGGGATTTAACCAGCGCTGCTTGCACACCCATGTCCTGTCATCAACCCTGTCATCAATTTTCCTGTGCCCTTATGGTGCTCTCCAGGCCCGGCCGCTCTGCACAAGCGCAAGGCTCGTTCTACCGAGACACGAGGGAATCTGGAAGATCTTCAACACTCACCCTAATGCGCTCGGGTTTACTTACAAGGAAAGACATGGATCCGCCGCTGTGGGACACACTCAGCACAAAGGGCGGGACACCTGCGGGCACAGGGCGCGTCACCTCCTCATCGAGCACCGCCCGTACCCCACAAAGCACCGACACCCCGGACTGCCCCGGGCCCGGCAGTCCCAGGACAGCCCCAGCAGAGCGATAACTCCGGCGAGAACTGCCCGGAGCCCTCCTAAAGCAGCGGCATCCCCGAACACCGTCCCGCGCTGTCCCCGCTCCGTCCCCCCGGTCCCCTCACCCGTGCGGGGCCGTCCCGCGCTGTCCCCGCTCCGCTCCGTCCCCCCGGGCCCGTCACGGACCCCTCAGGCTGCGGCCGCCGCTCACCGGCGGGAGACGCTGCGCGTGACGTCAGCGCGCCGACACGTGATGCGCGGGCGCGCTCGCGTGACGTCACCGGCCGAGCTCCCGCGAGCGGCGGGGAAGGAGCCGGCGCCATGTTGGGTCAATGGCCCCTGGCTTGGTGCTTGGTCAGCAGGACCGGGACAGGGATTGGCCCCCTGGGCCAGGCACTGGTGAGGCCACACCTCAAGTGCTGTGTCCAGTTTTGGTCCCCTCACTTTAAAAAGATACTGAGGAGCTGGAGAGTGTCCAGGGCAGGGAACGGAGCTGGGAAGGGGCTGGAGCTCCAGGAGAGGCTGAGGGAGCTGGGAAGGGGCTCAGCCTGGAGAAAAGGAGGCTCAGGGGGAACTTCTGGCTCTGCACAACTCCCTGACAGGCGGGGACAGCCGGGGCTCTGCTCCAGGGAACAGGGACAGGAGAGGCTCAGGTTGGACATCAGCGGGAATTTCTTCACAGAAAGGGTTCTTAAAGCCCGGGGGCAAATCCTCCTCTGCCCCAGCCCAGCCTGAACAAGGGGGAGCCACGTTCCTGCAGCCCTCCCCCAGCACCAGTCAGTTCCACCGCAGTGCAGGCACCAGCTCCTCGTGGTGATTAAAACCTACACCAAAACTCACCAGGACACAGGAGGCTTTGAGATCCTACTAAATGAAAGGAACACTGAGACAAGCCAAGTAAAGCAGGAGTGTTTCAATTATATTTTACTCTTCATTAGATTGTTCATTTGAATGTTCATATTACAAAATTAGCTGCCATGGCCCACAACTGGATGGGACTTCAGGAAAGCTGTCCGCTTACTCAAAAGAGCACAAACTAGTATTTCCTTTCAAAGAACTCTGTGAAACAATAACATATTAATCTTTAAAGCTAAATAGTGCTAAAATTTCACATCATCTACATTAGTTTTGGTTTTAAATAATTTTACCAACCATTATAAAATTAATGTATTTGCATGTATCAGGTTACAGACATTTGCATTTCAGTCAGGGTGAAGTATCCCATGCTGGAACAAGGATTTTAAGCAATTGCTGTTTCAACAGCAGCTAATTCTTATTGCCTCAGAACCAAGTTTCCATGAAGTATTGAACAAGAAAATGCAGGACATTGTTTCCCCACAAAACTATTAAAAGTCTGTTACAAGCAACAATAAAATGCCTTCTGGACAGGAAGCATTTATAAAATGCAGAGCTCTCCCAGCGAAGTGCTTGCACAGGGCATTCACTTCATTCTTCCCATTTAGATTCAAAACCCTGAAGTGATCACTGACCAGATGAAGAGGACAAATATCCTGATACGTTTTCACTGCCTTGGGGAGATCAGGAATTGCAGGTACTCCACTAGGTCTGGCTCCTGGCTGAAGTGAACTGGGCAGCAGCTGCTGAGATCAGGAGAGAAGGGGTTGAGGCAAATTTGAACAGTTAAAATATTGAAGGAAAGCTGGTTGAATTGCTAACTCACCATGCACTCACTCCTGAAGGAACACTGTGCTGACATCACAGATTCCACATTGTGTTAAGTCTGCAGCATCCAAACATACAAGTAGGAAACTGTCCATGTATTCCATTCCCTTGGTTCTAATCTCTGTGTTTTACACATAAGCCAATCATGCCCACAGGTGACCTAATACTGCTTCAGGCCTTTCTTTGTAAAAAAAAAAAAAACTAAGATAAAAAAATCTTCTACTTCTATTAGAACTTCTACCGGGCTTAAATCCCTGAAGAATCCATACTGTGTATGGAAGGCTCTAAGTGTTGTGCCTTGATGCAAATAAATGCACAGTAAATGTTTTATTGTGCAGTTTTCCTCCCCCCCAAGTTTTTCCCGTTTCCCTCACAATAACTAAAACCAAAGTTTAAAACCAAAGCATGAATATGTTACCAGCACACATGGACAGGTTTACAATCTTCTGTTTTTAAAGGACAAATGACAAAAAGCATTCAAGAATATTGCAATTTTTTTTTAACAGACAAGTAGCAAAACTTTGTACCACCTGGAACAGAACTGCTGAGACAAAGCTCCCCACATATTTTGCTGTAATACTTAAATAAGTAACACCAATGCAAGAACTTTCTCTTAATGGTTACTAGTGTTCAAGGAATCAGAGGATTATGGAGTCACGTAGGTCTTTGTACCCTGTGAATTACAATTGCACAGGTGGCACCCAGACACTTCTCACAACAGTCACATGGCTTTCACTTTGATTTGCTTCATCTTCATCTGCTTCTTCTCAAGCTTCTTCTGCTCACGCCGCAGAGCAGCTTCCTGTAGGAAGGACAGGAATCTGAATAAACACAGGTGATCTCCTGAAGGAACAAGCAGCTCATTCCAGAACCAACCAACAAAGCCCTCCAGCACTGGGCTCACATCTCACCAGGAGCCTTCGTGTGTTTCAGAAAGGAGCAGCAAATACCTGATAGCTGTCTGCCCTCCAGCAAACAGAAATCAAAGTTTCACACCTACAGGCAGCCCTGGAGATGTCCTAGGAGGGATCTGGCAGCAGCCCGTGGCAGTGTAACATCCCCTCACCTCCAGCCGACGCTGCTTCTCGGGATCCTCCTCGTTCATGATCCGCTCCTTCTCCGCCCGCTTCTTCTCCTCCCGGCGGGACTGGGCAGCCTCCTGCCTCTGCACGTGAGTCAGCTTCAGGAAGTTCTCTTCCACCCGAGCCCTGTTCTTGTCAGCTTTTTGTTTCCCCTTTGCACAGAGAAAAGCAAACACAGTTTGTACCGATTTCCCCCCAGGCAGGATGCAGTGGATCCATAAGGACCCAGTGGGAATGGTTCCAGTTTCATGTGATGTTCAGAGACAGAAAAGCACACACTACTTACTTCTCTGTTCAGCCGGAACTTCTTTGCTTTGTCGATGGAGTAGATAACCATGCTCATCAGAGGCAGCAAAGACTCCATGTCCTTTGGGGAAGTGTTGCCTGAACCAGGCACTGAAATAAAGAGTTCCTTGTTCATTCACACAGACTGGCAGTACTGGTCTGCTTGCTGTGATGCTCTTCCCTTATGGCTCACACTGTTCATGAAATAAAGATGCTCTTATCCTGCTCTTTAGGAAGCTTCATTGGGAGCTATGGGCTTGAATTTTGAAGATCTATTATTTTCTAGAATTCTCCCAACAGCCGCTTTTATTCAAACCATGGTAAACCAACTGAGCCTGTGCAAATTCAAACTGCAAGGCTTGTGGTTTAAAAACAAGCCACCCCAAGAGAGAGCTGAGGTCAGTAACAGCAAGACTGAGTGTCCTGTTATCATGACAATATGCTGCTCAGTCCCCAGGGTATTGCTGCCTTCTGTTTATCAATCAGTGATCCTGCTCCATGCCCTGAAGTCACTCATCACACAATCTTCCACACCTGAGCATGTGACTTACATCAATAAAACCCAACACTCCCACAGACACACAAACAACTGTTTCCTTACCATTAAATGTAAACAAAAGTGTCTTTTTAGTTTCGGGCAGTTTTGTAAGCTGGCCCTCCCTGGAGGAAAGAAACAAGTGTTTGGAAGGAGTGAAGAAAAACACAAAGTAGCTAACATTGGTCTGAAAATCCATCAAGAACCAAAAGACACTTGGAAAGTGCTTGAATAAAATAAACATTAAAAACCTGGCTGTAACCCAAAGTTAAGTTTCAAACTAACCAGATTCCTGAAGTATTTTACCCAAAAGCCTGAAGAGAAAAGGCATGAGTGTGAAAACATTCAGCACTAGTCCCGCTCTGTCCAGAGGGCATATGAGCACTAAGAAGGTCTGTATATTTTGAATTAAATCCAGCTTCACAGGCCCCCTTGTTGTTTATACCACTAAAGATCTCTAAATATTTTAGGGGAACAAAATATTTTCTCAAGAGTTTAAGTATTCACTGCCCAAAATCCCGCAGTATTCTAATGTGAAAACCTCAGGCTTACATTTCACAGATCCTCCACAATTTTAGTACAAGGCATATACATAAGCTGTCTTATAATTAAATCAAAATACGTTCCTTTATGTTCATTTGTTTATACACCCTTGCACGAACCTACATGTAATTCAGCTAAGACACATCACCCACCACTTGGCAATTCTGCAGCAGCCCCTGAAAGCACCTCTGGACTGGGAGGCTCAGGGAGGAGCAGAGCTGCTGCCTGAGCAGGGCAGAGGCACAGCTGAGAGTGAGCCTGAGCAGAGCTCAGCCTTTTCACTTACTCTTGCATAAGCTTTGGACCGGAGAACTGGTCCGAGAATTGGACAGAGTCAATCTTGTCAGCGTAGTGTGTGAGGAAATGGATCATCTGAAAGAGAAACCACGTTAGCTCTTCCCAGCACCACTCCAGCTGCAGCCTACCCACTCCACAGGGGTTTGCCAGGTTCCCTGCCCATGGCAGGGGGCTGGAACTGGATGATTTTTAAGGTCCCTTCCAACCAAAACCATTCTACAGTTCACAGTGACACTGACAGAGACGTGAACTTTTCCCTTTAACTTTTTTAGAATGCACAAGTTATAAATGCCAGGATTACCAAGGAGTATCTGTATTCATTCACTCAAGTTTACCTTGGCGTCCATCATTCCCTCCGTGACCTCTCCCATCTCTGACAAGATAGCCAGCGAATCTGGAAGCCCATATTTTGCACCAGACTTAGGTTTATCACTGCAGAACTCACTCTGTTTCAAAGAGAACAATGCAAAAGAAAAATAAGCACAAGCCTGTAAGTATGTTATCAGACTGAACTGTTCTGGAACAGTGGGACCACTAAAAGTAGCAGAGAGGAAACAATAAAAAACACATTCACTCATCCTGGCTGGGGACATTTCAAAGTGAAGCACAGTCTTTAGGGCAGCATTTTCCTGCAGAAGTCAGCACTTTAAGGAAGAAGATAAAACAATTCTAATGCATACATACTGGAGTGTTCATAGGGGATTAAGGCATTTTGCTTACACTTTGATATCAGAACA